TAAAAACATATGAATGCAATAATTCTAATGCAAAAATGAGGCTGGTGGCTAAATGTACTTGTAAACATCATATGACTTCAACACCACTCTCGGCTGATGTGCTCCCTTGCGTTTGGTGATTGTATCACAAATTTGCTTATTTTACATTAATCTAAAATCAAGTAAAATTAATGTTTATACCAAGGCAAAGAGTAACAGCAAATGGCAAAAGTTATAAGTCAAAAGATAAAAGTCATAAGTAAAAAGTGATAAATTATAAGTGAAAAGTCATAAGGCAAAACCTAAAAAAAAACACGAGAAAATAAGTCAGCATTTATTACAAAGATCAATTACTATTTTTGAAATAACAATCATATATATTCATTTTAGATACCATAATACATCCTATAAAGTATGGTTGCTATTTGTTGCGAATGAATAAGACGTTTGAATCTAATTACACATACTTGAAATTTCACGTATAACTTATATGTCACGGTACGAATCTATTCAGTAGATGATGTGCAATCTCGGTCGGGACAGAGCTAGCCCTGTAAGGGGTTCCGGGTTCGAATCCCGGTATGGCTGCATATCTTTCTCCCCCTGTGACATTTGGCACATTGGAAAGTGTCCCTGCCAGTCACGCGGGAGACCGGGGTTCTATTCCTAGTCGGACAGCCGTTTTGTAACCAGGGCTTGATAGAAGAGATACAACCAGAAGTCGATTCATATAGTGCAGTTAATCTCGTAATACTTATGCCAAAAACAAAAAAGAAACACTGCAAGTATTTTACGTAAAAAGTTACAAAATTGCACATACATATATTGTGATGCAAAAACTTTACAAATTAATATTTACAGGCTGCTGAGTAAGGACCATTAACTTGTACAATAAATGTGTTTAGATTTGATTTTTTAAATAACTTTAGGAAGATTCCCACTACACGTACGCTTTTCGTACAAAAATACATGCAAATACTGTTTAAGAAATGACCCGTTAAGGTATGACCATCCTAATGCATTACGTACCTCCAATTCAAGAGTATTTACATTAGTTGCATGAAATCAGAGGGTTGTGGGTTCAAATCCTATAGGAGCCAACTTTTTTTCCTTCATTTTTTCTTTTGACAGTATTTTTGTATTTTTCTAGCTATATTAAGATGGAAAAATATGCTCGTTTTCTATTATCATATTTTTTTACAGATATTAATTGCCTAATTAATGCTAAAAAAATCTAAGAGCAAATTACAATTATAACATTTTCAATGCTTTATATATTACAAACTAGCCGATAAAAGCCGTCCATATTTCACATAATGAATCAATATACTTCTAGAAAGATTTTAGCAAACTTTGATACAAGCCCTTTGACTAAATGTAATTTTAGTGATTTTTTAAATTTTGAATGATATGATAAAAATGTTCAAATTGTGGGGTAGAGAAACATTTCCATGCATATTTCTATCGTGTCGAGAATAGTCATGCATTTAACATGCATAGTTTATTACTAGAATGTTATTATTTGCATCTAAACAAACAACACTTGCAAAACATGTTTAAATGAGATTACACGGATATTTTTTTAGACTTTCAATACATGTATTTCATTTTAAAAGCCTTTTTAATGTATATGTTCTGACTCATAGTAATGCCAACAACTCCAAATCCGTACGGTAAATTTTGCTTAAATTTTGCATACAGGCGTCCTTTAGGTATACCATTACACAAAGTTGTCAATTTTACAATGCCTTATAGTGCAAATTAGAGTGGTTATAACTTAAACGATAATTTACAAATATATTGTAATTTGCTCAATATTTACAAACCAATATCTTAAAACAACCATATAATGAAGTGAAATCGTAGACTATCGTCTTTATGATTTTAAAACATCATTTTTTTGAAACTTAGTATTAGTCGTTTCAAAGCGTATTTATATTAAATCTATTCTCAAAATTAAATCTTTCAAATCGGTACACAGTTGTAGTGCTGAATCAGCGTCTAATGGCATCTGTAGATATGGCTTCAGAAGGGGTGCTTATTCTATGAATTCCTCACATTGTCTTCTTTGGCGTGAAAACATGTTCTTTGCAAATATATACGTCTCTCAAGTTAACTGCATTGCCGAAGTCGTGAGTTTCATACAGACCAGGTACTAAAAACAGTGTATCAGGTTTACCACAAATAACAGAAGAACTTTTTTGTTGCCTTATTTCATGTGCAATCCGGTCTAACTCGGTTTGTATGAGGTCCATGAAGCAAAATTTTAAGTTCTCACATTGTATCGGATACAGATAATTAAATACACAAGTATCGCGTAAGTCTTTGGAAAAAAAAATCCACCAATTGATTCCATTTTTTCTCGTAATGTACACCTCCACTTCTCAATGCGTTGGTTAGATGTGCTTTTTCCAGCTACAAGGCTTCGAGTACCAACTATCGGATCTGTAGAATCGTGTCTGAAGTATTGTTACAATAGTAAAGCAATGCAGTTTTCCGTACCAACATCACAACCTAGTAATTTGGGTGAGGGGGACTTGATAATGTTCATTAAAGGTGTCTAAAAGTATCTTGCAATAAGGTGTGGGTCGTTATTTGAGTCCAAAACCTCTAACCATGTTATTTTTCTACTATACCCATTCACAGCACCATGGATATAAAATCCTTATGGTTTAAGTTTGTCTTAACCGTCCATATGTCATGGCGTAGTATACGCGTCGGCATAAGCGATGAGCTTTCCGCATCTCAATACCATCCGGATCAAGCGCTCTCATTATTTCCATGACGTCGTCTCCCTTGACGTACATGTGGTAATCCTGCATTAACCTACGCCATATTGTACGGTATTCTATGCGTTGTCCATTTGTTTGTATTTCTCTGTTTATAACACCAGACACAGTCTCAAAAGGAGTATATATTCCATTACGCCGTTTAAAATTAAGCGTTTTAAAAAAAGTCTATTCACTGTACTAAATGACGTCGTAATGCCATGCTGTACCAGAAAGTACTCTATTATCAGCAGAGTTTTGTTTGTTATAGATGTTGAGGGTAGGTATCTTGGCACGGTAGCTTTGGTAATGCTGAACAGTATAATGATGAAGACACAGATCAACATCAAGGTTTTCATCCTCGTTACCTTTTGTCCAGTAGTTGTGTCTGAAATAAGAGTTTATCTTTTATCTAAATCTTTATACATTCATATTATATAAAATGGGTAAATCTCTTAGCTCCGTTTTTAAAGATAGATAGGTGCGAAAAAAATATTTTAAATGCTAGTAGGATATTTTGTTCTAACTGGTTCTATATCTACGTTTATTCTTAAGTGTTCTTTTCTCAATTGTTAAAATATACAACAAAATTAGACATTGATGCTAAATGCAAATGGTGCTCGATAACAATTTTAAGTTAACTTTGTACTTGTGTGTATGAACATAGCACTTGCCGTTCTTTACTGATTCCGTGTTAGCTCAATAAAATGCTGAATTGCGATACATGTTTAATACTGTGCACCATGCCATTTTAAGACGTAAAACTTGTATTCCCCTTCTACTTGTAAAACAGTTATTTGTTTGTTACTCATGGACAGATTTTGTGATGAGGACAAAAAATGTATAAGCACTAATATAATGAACATATTTAGAACATAGAAGATTGTACAAAACACACAGTCACACTTGTGGAATTAAAGTCTGTGATATGTTACCACTATGGGATTATATCAAATAATATTAAATTCCCTCCTTAACACATCCTCTCCTCCATTACAAATCTGAATGAAATTATTTAAAACGTTTATAAAACATACCTGAAACCAAAGTTGCTGCTTTCAGCATTTAGAGCACGTGTAAAATGGGTTAGCCAAAAGTCATAAGACGTAAGTCACAAATCAAAAGTCAAAAGTCGAAAGTCAAAAGTAAAATATCCGTAAGTCGAAACTCAAAAGTGACCCTCCAAGGCTTCCATATATAATATTTCCAAGCTATTTCTCATATTCCTAGTTATTATAAATTTGCAACTTATACAAATATTACATGTGTTATCAGTTTTTTATTGCTAACCCAAATTGTTGGTCAAGTGTATAAGCAATTAACTGATAATAGATGTAAACAAAAGGATGCTGAATTCCTGTACCATACTTCCCCTAAATGTGTTGTTTAAATTTTATAAAATATGTTAATTCACATTGTATTACAGTGTCAAAAATTATTGATGGCTGTCAAGTAACTGGTAAATGTTACAGATCGCAAAGAAAGAATGAGCAGCCTCATCAAGTAAAGGTAATATTTTATTTAAAAATATCACATCCCCTGTCTTAAACATATCAAGGAAATGTCAGTACTATCACATGGTGGTGTTTTAAGCAATATAATAACAAATTTATTTTGTAAAGAAAGAAATACAAAATGCTATATAATGGCAGTATCAAATATTCAAAACATACATAATCATATTTATGTAATAAATGTATTTATACCTTGTATGTAACCAGTGATAATCATTTTATTGCAGATATCATTCAAATCTAAAGGAGAAGATGAAGTGTCATTTGCTCATTGCACTTGTCCAGTGGGCTTGACTGGATTATGTGGCCATGTTGTTGGAACCCTGTACCAGCTGGCAAATTACAAATCATTAGGGTATAACGCACTTCCAGAAGATGTTGCCAGGACAAGCCAGCCCCAGACATTCCATGTACCCAGAGGAATGAAAATTCAAGGCAAGGCTGTACAGGACCTTGAAGTAAGAGGTTATTCGGGAAAGGCAGCAGCAAGTAGTAGCACTTCTTCAAACATTCCAAGAAATATTCAATCAACTTTATACAATCCAATCCGGGGACAAAATATTAACTGGAATGAACATGTTGAGATATTCTCTGCCGCTGTACCAAATATGCTGATGTTACCAGCTATGCAAGCAAAAGATTTTGAAATGGTAGATACCAAATTTGGAAAGGGTCTGTTTTAAGCTACCAACAAAAACTGGATTCTGGATATATTATTAATGTATATGACGGAGTTGAATTTCCACAACTGTCAGCATCAAGTTTTATGTGTAATTCATACAATGTTGTTCTAGACGAAAAAAAATCAACAAGCCTCGAAAACTTGAAACTTACCATGAACGAGTCTGCAAGATTTGAAAAACAAACTCGATTACAAAGTCAAACTCCGATGTGGTTTAAGATCAGAAAAAACAGATTGACTGCCTCCAAAATTGGAGAAATTTACAAACGGAAAAAGGAGCCGTCAAGCTTGGTACAGCGGTTGAAATCGACCCGACGTGTGACAACAGAAGCCATGAGAAAAGGGTTAGCTTCTGAGCCAGCAGCGGCTAATGCATATTCTGTACAAAAATCAAATGTAAACATCTACCCATGTGGAGTTGTTGTTAATGTTTGGGCACCTTGGTTAGCTGCAAGCCCTGATCGCAAGGTTTACAATACTGCAATGACACCACCCTTTGGTCTTCTTGAAATAAAGTGCCCACAGGTTTCTAGTGTTTTGGAGGCATCTTATTTGCAAAAAGATGCAACAGGGGCATTAAGATTAAATAAGAATCATATATATTACTACCAAATTCTTGCACAGCTGGCGGTGACAGGATTACAATGGTGTGATTTGTTTGTCTGGTGTACAAATGACAGTCATTGTGAAACAATATATTTTAACACTGACTTGTGGAACAATGTAAAAGACAAAGTAGATGATTTCTTTTTCAACCATTTTATTTAAATTATGACGCCCATGACTTAACAAGTGGTCCTTTAAAATTTGCTGTCAGGCATGCCACTGTCCATAATTGATTTATAGAGCCAATCAATGACAGAGGTATAGGTGTGTCAAATAAATGGTTTTCTTTAATTCTTCTGTTCATACGTTCAATATGTATTCTCAGTCCAGCAATTTGTTCGGTGTTTTCTACTTCACTCACAGAAAATTGTCTTTTGTTGCTTAAAAAATCAGGAATATTTAATGTGGCTCCTTTTTCCTGCAGTACCTTTTTTAAAGTAAAACCTTTATCAGCCATAATATCATCTCCAGGCTCAATAAGTTCCAACAGACCTGACAATTTCGTAATTTCTACATCAGACATTGACCCTGTAAATAGTGTGGACACAAATGTTACCGAACCATGTGGGGCAATGCCTAACAAACATTTAACTGTTGTTGTCCCTTTATAATTTGAAAACGCTTGAGAGTTAAGCACAAGTGAAGAAGGTGTTTGTGTTCTCAGTTCAGTACAATCAATTACTACACGCGTTCGAGGATACAGTGCTTTGAATTCTTCTGGCATTAATGTTTGGATTGTATTTCTGGAAAGCCAAATTGGAATATCTGCTAGTATAAAATATAGAAAGTTTGCCCATGTTATAATTTTTCTACTAACTGTAGGTACTGAACAATTGAATCTAACACTTAAGTCTTTTTCTAACAAACCAGCATGAAGGCGACAGAAAAACATAAACATTTCATCAACTAATTGCATCCCTCTCTTTCGACCAGCCAAGCTGATAGTTTCACTTGCTTCATAGTAAGCACTCTTCATATTTTTTGCTGATGGTTGTATTACATTGAAAAATGTTATGAAAGATAAATATGTTGGAAATCCTGTATAAAAAGATATACAACTGTCATCATTTGAAAATCTGTTTGTACCAAAACGTTCCACATCAAATTGATATTTTAACTGTTTGTTTTCTTCTTTAATTTTCTGTAATTCTTCTTTCAACTTTGTTATAATTTCTTTTTCATCTGTTATGTTAAGAGGTGTTGCAATTAAAGGCTGTTCTAATTCCATTTGTCCATCTGCGGCCATGGTATGACTGCCATCTATGGTAGGACTGAAACATACATATATATATACGTTTTATTCAGATTTGGAAGCACGAATTGTAGCATTTCTGGTATATGTTTTTATATATATTTTTTTCAATATCATATAATCTGTCAAATGTGTTTCTTTACAATGACTGAAATTAAATAAATGTGAAAAATATACAATAAAGAAGTTTGACAATCTTGTTTTATACCTTTCATCTGACAAAATCTTCCTCTTCAATGTTCGTCTTGCTGGTCTGTTACTACTCCAGTCAAATACTGAGGGTACAGCTGTTTTCTTTAGACATTTTCGAACTGGTGTCCATGATCGATAATCTTCTCGTGTGAAATGTTTCGAACAAACAACTGTTGTCCTATTGATCTGAAATAGTACATAAAATGACTTTTAGTTCTGTTTAGTATAAATACGGTATTGATAAAGATTCTGGAGCAACAAAAAAAATGTCTTAAATGATATACATAATTATATACCTGTGATTTTTCTATAAATTATTAGAACAAAAGTAATTTTTTTATTTGTCAAAAACAAAATGAATCATTTAAAACACTATGAAATCCGTATATTTAAGGAGAGTATTAAAAAAAAACTATAGTAGCTTTGTGTAAAAAAAAAGTGGAAATTTACCTTGAAATATTCTCCTTCATCTCGTCTAATTTTCACAATCCATTCTTTTTTTAAACTCACATCTTTAGGTATTTTATGAAAATGAATTGTATTATCATATCTAGAATCTGAATAACATAGTGGAACACAACAATGAAAATGTGATTTTCCCTGTAAGTTTAACACGCTTGGGCTTATCAGGTCAGCCATTTTTTGTTTACATTCATGCCCTGTTAGCCTCTCTCTGGTGATGGAATGTAAAGTATGCATATAATTTGAGAAAGGCCTATTTTGTACCTAAATGAATGAAATCTTTCTTCCTTCACTAAAAACACACAACCAAGCATAATATTGACATATTTTATCGTAGAAGTCCATATAAAATCTTGCAGAAGGACCTGTCTTTGCAGATGTATAGTTAATAAAAACGAGCAATTTCTGGATAGTAAGTCACGCGAAAACAAAATCGTAAGTTTCACGCATGGTTTCTTATATTTAAATATTAAAAGAAAATAAACGTGTATTTATAAAGTCTTAAAAGACCTTGTTTTAATTCATGATCAAATTGTTTACTTTTGTTCGAAATAACGAATGCTTAATCAGTTCTTTTATAGCTTATATAATTATCATATATATATATATATATATATATATATATATATATATATATATATATATATATATATATATATATATATATATATATATATATATAATATATATATATATATATTATTTACGCTACAAACAATTTTTCTTAGTTCTATACAATTAGATTTTGTTTTCTTGTCCACTTTATCAGAAGTAAAAGCAATTAAACAGAAAAGTGTGTAGTTAACGAAATTAAAAAATGACTTGGGTAGATGGAAGTATATCTAAAATTGTTTACTTGACGAACGACAATGAAGGCATATTAGGTTTTATTTCTTTGTCTTAAGAATAACGAGGTTGACGGGTTGTAATTCAGTTTTAAATTCCTTAAATATACTTAACATATTTCATATTGTTTTCAGGATGGACTGCCACAATATTTGCACAACTTCTTGAAAAGGGTAAAATATCCGTCAGAGCTGGAATAAAAGATAACTTTTAGCGAAACCACGCTGATAATGTCCCCTGCAAGTGCTAAAGGAAACTGTTTTATAGCAAAGCAAACATAAACCGCCACAGATATTTAAAACAATTTATTTGTTTGGTAACGAAGACATGTATTTTTAAGAATAAATGGTGTATAACAGAAGTTGTCGTCAACAATAAAGTAAAAGTATTTCTTAAAAAAACATAAAAATTGTTTCGACAAAATGGTCCTGCTACATTAACATGTGACACCTGTTACATTAGCATTTGAAGAATAAAACAATTTAAAATATACGCGGATATATCCAGAGGGGAGAAAAACTGAAGGAAACTCTGCGAAGTTCGTCTCCCTTTTGTGCATAACCACGTTATCTTCAAATAGTTCTTTTGGTGAATGTTCATATGTTGCAGGTTACATTTGTTTTTGCTGCCGATCCCCATAAATTCCTGGTGAACCTTCAAGACGGCCTCGATAGAGAATCTGCTTTCGCAATTGCAGACGAACTGCTTTTCTTTCCTGCAACATCACAAAATATCTTAATACTCTATACAGATCTATACACTTATTTGAGAATCATTTTAAGGAATTAGCTGTATTTGGCTGCTTTTGTTAAAAGACAAAACAAAAAAAAAGTCTTTTCTGTTCTGTCATATTGTCGAATTTTTTACACTTTTCAACGCTTTGCACGTGTCGTAAAAACAATTTTATTTTTTGGAATTTAAAACTCAATTACAACGCCATCAACTTCGTTATTTTAATAAGAAACAGAAATAGAACACAAAATGCCTTCATTGACTTATATTTGTCAAGTAAACAGTTTTCGGTACTTCCAGCCACCAAAGTCATGTTCGTTAACTTCTGATCGTCCCATTTCATGTATTTTGTCGTCGTGAGCAATACTTCCGAAGAGGAGAACCTTTTTCCGATTTTTACACACCTTTCTGTTATATTGTTATATCTTATTGTAAATATAAAAGCATGGACTAAGATTAATTGATTGTAGAGTAAACTTAACATAGAAATGAAGGAGATAAATTCAAGTCAAGGAATGTACAGTTCATGTTTCGCGGCCGTCCTAAAACATGTACCGATAATCAAATATGCTGTAAAAATAACTGATTAAGCATGGTCGTTTTCATGGTCAGGTTATTTCTTCTTTTTTTCAATGCACCATCACAATGCAACTGTATGTACTCTGACAGGTAGTTTGACTTAATTTATTTTATATTCAAAATGCCTTCAGAAGACTACTTTTTAGTTAGTTATCTCCCCACCACTTTTTACCAAACAAATGATTAGCAGATAATTATACCCTTTATTGTAATTGTAATTGTGATTGGTACACAAAGGAAACATCATGAAACATAGGTCAAATACAAAATTGGGTTTGTTTCAGGCCACATATTCCGAGCGAGTAAGTTCATTTATTATTCTACAATGTATTTTTTTCTTTGTATTTCGAGAGCGTTTTTGTTTTTCAAATTCTACAAAAAAATGACAATCAAAAACCCATCAGTATCTTTGATTCTTTTTATTCTCGCTAAACTACTTGCCTTTTCAAGAAACTGGCTTTTTAAGTTTTCTTATATATTTACAAAATATGGTATAAGTGCGTCATTCTTTTCTCAAAGGATTATTTTCTCTATTGTGTGATTTATTATTTTAATGTTTATGTTGATGAAAGGTTTGTCGAATAAAATATTTTTTTATTTTTTGTAATTTAATTTTCTGTAAGCCTGTTCCTTTCTGGAGTGTTTGCATATTTGCTTCAGCAATGTATCTTTGTTCTGTTTAGAAATAGCAATAAGAATTAGAATATGATTTATTTTGCCCTGTCTGTTCTTATTTATGCCTGTGTTAATTGTTCCTAACAATTTATTTAGCAACTGACACGGAAGAATAAAGAGATTGCAGCAATCAGAAATATAACATTTATTTATATACTTTGTTAAGTTTTTTACGATGTGCGTTTGATACCGGGTAGACTTTTAAAGTTTACAAGAAAGAACTGAATATCAATAGGATTTTCCTTGATCAATTTAAAAATACAAACTAAAATCAGGAATCTCATTTTCCATTCTAAAATTAGTGTGATGATGATATAAAGAATCTTTCTGAAACGTATACACGTCCAAATTATAAAATAATCTAAAGGAGTATCGGAAACAAACTTTGTAATTGAACTTCTAGGATATTTGAAATTTGTAAACTTCCTCTCAATAAACATTTGACACTGCTTTTAAAAATTTTTCATTTGTTCCCTACTAAAAAGCTTATCCAACAAAAGAAATTACAAACTTATAAAGGACATTTTGTAGTTTGTCCATAATGGTGAGACTACCAATAACGTTCAAGAGACCGAAACACGTGTGCATACATAAAGACACCGAATAAAAAAGTTCCGAACTGTTCTGGTACACTCAGAAGATTATGTTCAGTGTTCATAATATATATTATGATAATTGATGTAATCCATTAATATAAGTTTCAATATTTTGATATATTTTTGCATTTTTAATAAAGCATTTATTTATGTGTACAATTAACGTTAGTCTAAGATACACTGACGTTAACACAACAGTTCCATTTAGAAACTAACATTTTTTTGCAGTGTTAAAATGCTATAAAAAAAACTCCGACATAATCTATTCATGATAAATCATATTGACCTCGTCGTTAAAGATACTTCTTGTTTAATATATGCACAGTTGTATGAGTGCATCAATTAGAAACACATGCGCACTATTAAAACGGACTATGACTGCAATAAAAGTTGTGTTGTTATTTTGAATTTTCGAAATCAAATTTAGATTTGTCAATAAAAAGTTAAAAGAGTCATGATTAACAGGTATCTAAAATATTTTTTCTTATTCTAACACATGAGCATAACAATATTCTTTCTGATATTTTTAAACTAACTTGTTGAATTAATATCTTATAAAATCAACAATTATCAATTCATGAAATTCATGTAAAAAGCATTGATCATTTTTACTTTTCTTAAACAAAATAAAATATGTTTTAAATAATATGTGTGGAGGGTACTGGCATGCGAGCAGTTCCCGTACAAAAATCACAGTTACTTAAACATTACTTTTTATTACGCTCACTCACCAAAATTTGAATGTTACACATCAATATTCAGCTCGTCACACAAATCATGGAAATTCCATCATGTTCTAAACATAGTATAACCCTTACTTGTGAGGCCTCATATGGGGTACCGAAATTATCCATTATTTTGTATGAAGAGAAGTAGTTCCCGTACATAAAATCTAACCCATTATAATTATACAATTTTATTATATCGGGCCTATTTTTCATTTACAATTGTTGAACAGACTATTATCTAATTAAAAGATAAATAGATGTAATTCAGGAAATAGAGCGTAAACTAAACGCGGGTATCAATTACCCGGTACCGTTACCCCAACGCATTCACATGCAATAGCATGCTTGTATGCATGATATTTTACGCATCAAAGCCATAAAATTATTATATATAGTAATATTGGTCAACATTCTGATAATTAAACAAGTTTACATCGCATTGCCTACTTATTTGTAAACAGGTGGTATAAGTGGAAAACCCTTTAACAAGCCTCACGTGTAAGTATTTTTGCGCATGCGCGCAAGGACGGAATCCCCCAAAGAAAACAAGGTCACGTTTTGACGACGCACAGGTGAAAGTGATTTAAAATGAGACTTTATATACGTACTGCCGAACTAACACTTAGATTTTGTCTCGTTTATGTATCTGCTTGATTTGAAATTAATTTTTGAAGAATGCAAGTAAAAATCAAGCGTTTAAATGAAAAATACGGGTACTGCTTCTGTACGGGAACTGCTCGCATGCCAGTACACTTTTTTTTTTTTTTTTTTTTTTTTTTTTTTCGCAGGGTAGATAAAGAGCTAATGTACATATTCTCACTAATTGTGGTTTTCCTAGAAGTTGGTGGTGTATATGCCTTTGGAGCTGCCTTTGACGCTCTTCTAGAAAAATATCAAAAAGATCGATCAACTACTGCTACAGTACAATCACTCTTGTTAGGAGTTACTTTAAGCTTTGGTAATACTATCATAATCCTGAAACAAATGTTCACTTTTTTAACAACTTTGTCTTAATAGAACGTCTGAAGAATGTAACAAAAAAATGTTTCAGACTTTAAAGAATATGATTTTGGTGTTCTGTATCTGTATGTGCTATAAGGGAAACAAGAAATTAATAGTTAAGTGTTTAAATGCCTTGTTGTCAACTATGTTTGGTTTACCTCGTAACATAACGACTTTTTGTGTATGTTTATAAATAGCTCGATCAAACCATGTCTTTTACTTGTATTTATCTCGAGGGATTTCCCTTTTCCAATATTTATTTTAACGGAATATGTTTTGTCTTGTAACGAAATTGTTTATATCCCTTCTTTCACTAGTCATTTCTCCCAACATATATTTATAAATGTCACAGTCGTAAAGCATAGATAACATTAAAAATAACGAATACTTTCTTAAATATAAACGCGTTTGGCATTCAAAAAATATTTCAAATCAGTTTCATGCTTTCGATATTGTAGTTAATAACTCGAGTAGAGTTCAGCTTACTTAAACTGACATGGTTTATCTGTGAATCATTAATGATACCCAGAATAATTACTAAAACAATTCAATTTATAATGGTCAATTTAAAAATCAGTGTATCTTTAATTTGTATTGGGCTCAATTACCTGTTTTCAGGTGTTATAAGTGGCACTCTAATAAGTCGATTAGGACTACCATTGGTACTTTTGGTATCGTGTATTCTGGTTCCAGCCGGATACTGCTCTTCTTTCTTTGCCACCAGAATAGAGCATCTCTATGTCAGTATCGGCATTGTATCAGGTAGGCTCACAAAATTTATAGAAATCAATACTTCAAAATCGAAATTTTAACATGTGAAAAATATACGGGCGCATAAATATTGTTCTGTACATAAATCGTGCCTGAAATAATTCACGGAAGGGCATCTGAGGTCCAAACAAACAAATAATGCATACATAAACAGTATTAATATCAAGCTAGGAAACTTAGAACATTATTGGTTAACCTGGTGTCTGATCATCCATACCATATTAACACATTTTATATTTCTTTTAATTGTTCATAGCATCTATTTGTGTTGTTTATTTCTGCTAATCAAGAACAATAATACAAAGCTTGTGTGCTGCGAAAATTGAAGTGATTTTTAGTGCAAATTCGAAATAATATCTCACTATATAGGATGATCATATGATTTTGAATTCTTCATAAGCTTTAAAAAATATATTATTTATTGTTTAAATAAGCAAAATGTAGAATGCGTAACAGAAACTATATGCAAAGCCAGTGCCTATATTTTACTATGATTCGAAATTGTTAAGTAACAAAGTTTCTGGTAAATAAATCGTAAGATAAGGCAGATTGATGTAGCTTGCAAATTTAACACTAGTATCTCCGTTTCGTTAATTATCTTATTTAATGTTGTTGTTTTTATATTTATAATTGCCACATTGAGTCTCATTTGCTTTACTTATTTGTTTTAGGAATAGGAGTTTCGTTGGCATACACCAGTACATCTATTGTAAATTGTAGGCTATTCACAGGCCAGAAGAGAGATTTGTATTTATCCATATATACATCAATCATTCCATTCGCAGGATTTGTTTACCCATACATTTTGGAGTGGTTAATCGAATCTTACGCTTTAAATGGAACGTTCCTTCTTCTTGGTGCTATTTACAGTAACAAGATTCCATTCTTGATTATGTGTTTTAGAAATCGAAAATATCTAGCAGCAGATGAAGTACCGGAGAATAATGATATTGCTGGTAATGAAACAGACGCCCCTATGAAAAAAGCAAAGAAAGGCGTAATTATAAATGCTGTTCAAAATTTTAAAAAAATGATGAATATCACATTTTCCTTAATACTCTTAGCAACAGCAGTTTCAACAGCCGGTACAAGTGGATTCATGGGTCTAGCACTCGATATCAGCTTATGGAAAGGTTTTACTAAAACCCAGGGGCTTCTTACTTTTGTGATTTATAACATCGGAAATACTTTATCTAGACTTGTTCCGGGTTTTCTGAAACAAATACAAGGAGTTGATTTCTTGATGTTTTCATTTATCTCAGCATTAGCCGGTTGTATTGGACAGTTAACTTTCTTTTTCGGTAGCAGCTACAGCGCTTATTTGATAGGGTTCTGTCTAACCGGTCTGTGTTTTGGCGGAATCGTTTCATCAACTGCATTGGTATTGGTTGAAATAGTAATACCTGAGAGACTTCCTATAGCAATGGGAATAACTTCAACAACGTGTGGTATTTTATCCGTGTCAACTGGGCCGTTCTTTGGTGAGTTGAAATATGAAAAACACATTAAAAACTACTGAAATATCTTGTGCTACGGCTTTGTATTTTAAGATGAGCTCTATATATATATATATTGATATTTAAAGGCAATAAGATGGTTCTATTGTTTTATTTCGTAGTTCTTGCGTTCTTTCTTCTAATGTTTTATTTTATAATAAAAAAGAAATGAAAAATGGAGCACAAGCACAAATAAATCAAAACTTGTTTTAAAATTACTATTTGAACATCGAGTTTTAAGCAAAGGATAATAAGCATGATTTGTGGAATAAATATCAGTTTATTCATCGATTAATAATTCTGAACTGTCTTGGAGTCGACATGAATTGTAATGTTCACTCTCTGTCTCATTCATGCGAAGGCAGGTATCACACAGTAATCAAATGGTGTTGACAACATAGCTCCAGATTAATACCAATTTTAATAAAAATTTGAAATGTATTTAAGTATAAAACATTGTGAAATGAACTAAGAAAGTAATTTACACATTGCAAACGTCACAATCTACGTAAATTACCAAAATGAAGTAATTATATGCAAAAATAACCCTTATGCATGATTCGCCGATAGAAAAAATGTGACAAATATCGCAAAATCAGTCATTATTCTCATATAACATGTGTATTGTTGCTTGAATCGTTTAACTTTAATTAAATCTTTTCCGCGCAGTCTGATCAGGAACTATGCTGTTCGCTTACCAACCCTGAAAAGTAGACAAACTGATAGCTAACTGCATGGATCCTGATCAGACTGCGCGGATGCGCAGGCTGGTCTGAATCCATGCTGGTCGCAAACAAGTAACCCATTATGTTGGTTTTGTCATGACACGGTCAAATTTTTTATTTCTTATCATCGACTACATACTTTTTTGTTTACATTGCAGGATGGCTCAGAGACATTCTAGGAAGCTACAATTTAGTTATTATTATTATCGCAACTCTACAGGCTATCACAGCAATACTATTGTGTATTGTATTAATATATAGGCGTATTGATACAAATAAAAAGAAGAAAATCCAACAAGAAAGACGGAATACGGTTTCATGTACAGTGTCGGAACTTTAGAAAATGATATGGTCTGGTTCTTTTTGACAAAAGACTAGTTTTAGTCCTGTCATAGATGAAACAAACAAAAACTTATTTGAGCGGCGTCATGACAAAACCAACATAGTGCGTTTACTACCAGCATGGATCCAGACCAGCCTGCGCAGTCTAATCAGGATCCATGTTGTTCGCTTTCAGTTTCTCTACTAGTAATAGGGTTTGTAGGCGAACAACATGTATCATGGTCAGACTCCGCGGATGCGCAGGCTGGTCTGAATCCATGCTGGTCGCAAACGCACTATGTTGGTTTTGTCATGACGCGGCTCATTTGATATAGCCACGTTGTATGCCTCTACGTGTGATATTCCATACAATTCCTTATCTGATTTATAATCCGATCAAACCGCAAACACACACACAATTTATTGTTGCGAATGGTTTATATATTGTACATGTAGCTTTTTCTGATGGTACGAGGACACGCACATAATACTACATTATAAGATTTCTAATATTACTTAAAAGGATTTTTGAAAACAAATCATCGCCTTTATCTTGATTGTTTCTTTGTTGTCCCTCCGAGGTTATAAGGAAATCTTTTAGAAGAACACTTGGGCAGTTTAACTGACTAGTAATACGTTTGTTTTTTAAGGTGTTAAAAACAAATACAGACTAACTGACTGGTTTGTTCAGTCATGAACTGTATCATTGTCTGCTTGTCCATGTTAATGTTCATGTACTTATAAAGTGTTTAAAAACTGTTTTGAATTTCAATACTATTTAGATAACATTCCACTTAAACTGCCTATTCCATTGACTAAATTAAGGCTATCTTAAGATAAATTATTAATTGAAACATGTCGCTATGGTAATAGTAGAACTGAACGAAACCAAATATATTGTATGATTTGTAACAGTGGTGACCTTAAAGATTATTATCATTTTATTTGTATCTGTTCTGCATATAATCAAATCAAAACCGAATACCTTAATAATATTGACCCATTACTTAAAATCTCTTCTCGCCTTTTCATCCGCCCCCTTTTGAGTCCTCAAATGGTAAAAATGCCCTATTTAGACCCCAAACACTTGTTTTTCTTTGAGAAATGGTGTTAAGAAAAGTGATCACTTTTTTCGGCGTCATCTCCTATCAAATAGATACACCAAGGTGGTGCCAGATGGGGGATGTGCCCCCTTCATTTTTGGTTGTTGGAAGCGGTCGGCAGACCCCCACATCTCAAAGACAAACATGGACTTTTGAGAAGCTAAACATGACTTCACCTCAACTTTAAGGTAACCTAACCAACGCTGAAAAGCCTTTGACTCTATCTCAATTCATTGAGAAGTTGCATCACTTTGAAATCAGTTTGAATGAAACAATCAACGCAAAATAGTGATTTTTGGCAATTTTGAGATGCCCCCTCGTTGACATGGTAACAAGAAAGTTAAGATTGAGTATGCGGTTACAAAGGCTATCGTCCAGTCAAAATTTTTGCCAAGTTTGAACAGTATTGAAGCCTTTTTTATAGTTTCATAGCAATTTAAACTTGTAACAGGAGGCTTTTCAATGAAAACAGCCATTTTCCAAATCATGCTCATGAAGTAATGGGTTAACACATCGGTTTCTAAAGACAAAGTTTTATTAAATTCATAGAAAATATACAATCTGTCAACTATTCTGCATTAATCAAACTATGCAAATTTATACGAGAATCATTTATAATAATACAAAACATTGTAAACAACTATACTTAGTCATATTTAAGGATGTTTCCTGTAGCCATTTACACGTGTACTTATTTATATACTAACTATCACGTTACATTTGGTCTTGCCATTTTAATATATCTGGTGTTACTGTATTGTGAAAATGTCTGAGTTAGATAATTATCATATGTTCATGCGTTCACATAATTTTGTTAAACAAATTCTTCCATATATTTAATGTAAAAGTAAATAATCAACACATGCCTGTATAAAAAGTATTGCGAGCGTGCTTTAACTGCGTCCTCTAGCTTCTGCAAATGGTATGCACATTAAATTAGCGCTACACTTGCATAAATGTATACGTCTTAATCGGTAATATCTGCTTTTTTTTGTAATCAGAAATCATGTTTTTTGCTTCGTAAATGTATTCCTCTGCGTGCGTACGCAAGAATATTGCTTCCATAAAAATCAAATATTTTGAAAATTAAATTGAAAAATTTCTCAAAGATGCGTAAAAGTTAAAAATATAACTCCTTGAAAATATCTCTGCTTCTAACATTTTTAGATTATTTTCTTTGTGTAATTTTCTTTATGTTTCGTATTCTGTGATTATATATTTATCAAAATAGTAATGTATATATTTTATGTGTGAGTTTTATGTAAACTGTATGCATTGACAATATTTAGTATCTGTAAATGGTCAAAAGGTATTTGAAAAGCCAATTTACTAATAAATGAAATGAAATGAAAATGTTATGTTTGATCCTAAATACTATTAGCGTAGTTGTTTACTGCATTACAGAAAGTTGTCTTTATGGGCACATTTTAGTTAAATAGTTCATACATTGATATATATATTTGGTGTTTGGTTATACTATCAATGTAGTTATCTATCGAATTACAGACATTACATAATGGAACAATTCATTTTAAAATCTATTCCATGTATACTAAAGTGTAGAAAAAAGTTGCTTTTAGTTAACTAAAATCGGGCTAATCACAGCACAAAAATACGATTTTTAATTAATTATGATTATTTTTTCTTAATTATACAGCTGATGTATGTAAGAATTTCAAAATTTATGTTTTCAGGCTTTTGGACCTCAGTGGAGTCCCTTCATTATCCCGATGAAAAAAACACATTAACAGAATGCATAAACAAGTTCATAGCTGTGCCTTTGTGGTTGACTTAAGATAACAATTAAATCATAAAAATGAACATAAGATATATACGATATATGCAAATTCAATATATGCATTTTCGATTGACTCTTTTGAATATCATCTATCATAAAACATTATGTTGTCCTCAACAACTGAAATCATTTATGTATTAAATATAACAAGTAAAACAATGATTACCCATAGCTTTCTACAAATAGTGTCAACATGACCTTGTTATTCTCTGCCTGATGATTGTTGTTTTTGAAATCGGCATACTATTTGAATTCGGTGATTTCTACGTCACAGTTTTAGATTGTGCTAAAACTGCAGCTGTCCAATCACTTGTTATTGGAATTATTTTGGGTCCAGGTCCTCGTGTTCAAAAACTGTCTTTTTTATGTTATGTATAAAATTATTTAAATAAAAAATTATTGAAAGTGAAAATAATACTGTATGGCCCTATTTTGATAAATTTTAGTGTCAACTCACCCGACCACCTCTGAACACAAACTTCTGAAAGATAAAAATGGTACAAAATGTAATAACAATTGAAAGTCATTATTATTGTAATATACATTTTGATGATATTTATTTTTTAATCTACTTTTTATATTTTTCAAACTTTTTCTTAAATCTAACAAATATAAAACAAAGTTGAACAAACCATTTTAGATGTTTCATAAGAGGCAATATTTAACTTACATTTTGATGCCAATATAAATTAAATATTTCTTTACATTATTTATGAAAAAAATATTAGTATTGAAAAGTAAGCATGTATATAGAATTTCACTAAAGTAATATTTGACTTTAATCTTACAAAATGAAGCAAGGCAGTCAACAATACATTACAGTAAACATGTAACATGTTAAGCTCTACGATGTCATGTCCCATATTTTTTCAATTATCCAAATAGCATCTCTATTGCCATTCCACCGTCAATATAAGGAAAGCTCATAAGTGAAAAAGTTGCCAAAATAGATCATTTACTATCAAGATTCAAAGAGTTTCAATATATATCACTCTGATATGACGCTGGAAAACTTAAACATCGACAGGTTTACAAATTTGACAAAAACAAAATGAATGGAAAGCACTCCAAAAAACATGTCCTTTTTTCAAACACTGGTTATAATTTTATAATTTAGAATGATGTTATACTAATAAAAAATTGTGGTACATGCACTTGACTTACCTCCGATCTGATTTCTTAAGTTTATAGGGATTTTTACAACCAGTATCCAACATAACCATATGGGGAATTTATCGTGCAACACCTGCAATGTGTACATTGCTACCAATTACGAAATACCAAGAATTGCACTGAGTTGACTTTGTGTATATACATTGCTGCCACACAGATATGCTTTAAATGAATGATCATACAAGTAACACATATTTATACATATAAAGGTATAATTAGAGTGTATACCTAACAATGAAACTTCAAACTTTTATTATCAACTGAATACTTTTGACAAGTTCAATATCGTACAGGACTTGTTAAGCTATATCAAACAATGAAAACAAAATCAGCATCATTTGATCCTGATCTATTGTTAGTGAACCCTGAACCTGAACAGCGAAATACACCCAACCAACCGAGTTCTGAGATCGTCAGCTGTAAGTTATATACAGTGCCACTGGCAAGAATACGTGCTGACGAATTTATTTGAACAAATTATGTAATATAAAGCAACATGTAGATCAAAAGTAGTTTGGTAATTTCTTTGTTTGCTGTATATACAGTAATAGTGTATATATTCAGATTTGTTGATAGGAACATATCAGCGGATGATTCAAACTTCAATTGTTTTACCATTCCGATACTATCGATCGTGGATGATAGCTTGTACTTTTCAGTACTATCTATGAACAAGCTCAATCAAACCGAGCAAACCCAGACTTTCTTTAAACCCAGCCGCAACATTTTTCAATTGTGCTGTTTTGATAATATGACAAATCCATGTTTCTTTACCTATATTTTCATGCCAATTACTGTATTAAACAGAGTAGTTTACTATTAACAATTTATTACTTTTGAAACACTTTGGTGCAAACATTTAAAATAGGGTGTAAATTTTAGTTATGTTTAAACGATTATTCTTTTCAGTACTTCCTAGGAAAAGGGATCAAAATGTCAAATACGTGTTTAGAATGGGAGAAATAGGGTAGCATTTTTTATACTTATTTCAAACATATTCAGTAGAAACGATCGATCATATAGCATGCTATTATTTGTTTATTAACAATAATAACTAGAAACAAAATTTTTTCATAAAGGGTTAATATTTCCCGATCATTTTAAAATATCCTAAATTTTTTGAAAAAAAATTCCCCTTTTTTAAAATTTTTATAATTTTTTATTTTGTTTTTGTTCAGAAAAGTTTCCATAAATCCAGTAAATAAGGGTTGCCTGTTCCATGGTATTGAGGTTTTCTTCTTTAATTTTGTAACAGCTTAAAAAAATACTGGGCACAAAAAAAATATTCATTATATGTTAAAAATGAATTAAAATGAAACCCATATTTTTTCACAAATTTGGGTTTTTTATTTTTAAACTTTTTTACCAAACGATTGGGCCCAATTTTTTTTCATAAAAAGGGATGTCCCTTTTGGGAACACAAAAAAAAATTTTTAAAGTAAGAAAACCCCCAAAAGTTTTGGGAAAAAACCAAAAATTTTTTGTAAGTTAAAATAGATCATAATGTATAATATAAAATGAGTTTTGATTTAAAAATGGCCTACTTTAGGCCGTTCTAACGTTTTTAATTATTTTTGCTTATCACATGCTAGTTATATACTGAACAAATAAAGAAACTTCCCCTGTGTTTACAATGGAGATAAAGTGTTATTTAAAAAAAGGCAAAATGTCGAATGAGCTTATTCGGGGGTACAATTATGTGTCCGATAAAACAAATTTTAAACTCGATTTTAACTCAATGGCAGGTTTTGAAACCAGTTGTATAATTTTTTATGTAAAGAAGAAGAAGTTGATTTTTTTTTTAAGTTTTCTTAATTTTTTTGATATGCCTAGAATTCCACAAAAATTTACGCGAACGTGCTACTGGCATGCTCAATTCTGGAAAAACGATGAATGCCGTCGCTTTAATTATACTGGGTGTTCTACTCTTCTATTTAATACCCTTAAAACCCAAAGTTTTTCCCAAACAAAAAGGACGTAAAAATATCGACGGGGCCCTAGTGGGGCCTTTCCCCGCGGCCCCGACGGGGGTGCGTAAGAACAAACCCCCCTTTCCCCCAATTTGGGTTCCAAACTGCACAGCTAAGACTGCTAACACCCCCACTTAAAGATATCAAAAAATATATCTGCGCCAAAACAAATGCCCCCGAGGGTGGGGAACATGGACGTTTGACTCCCCTTGGTTTTGTGTTTTAGGGAGAGGGCGGCCCCCCGGTTAATTGTTTAGCACTAACAAAGAAAGCTGGCCCTTTGAACCCAAAAATTTGGGAAAAGCGTTTTTTTTTTTCCCGGTTTGTCCCGGTTTTTCCCTTCTTTGAAACTGATAGCAGGGTTTGAGTTACACCGTGAGAGTAATGAACGTACTTGAAGGGGGTCGTTTTGGGGGTAGGGATTCTGTCTTGGTCTTGGTAGGTATCGCACATGGCTTTCGCAGTACTCCTGTCGTTGTCGAGGGAGATTTGAATGCCCAACGTTACCGAGATGAAATTCTTGCGAGGCATATCATCCTACTTTTTCAAATAATGCCAATATTAATCTTTTAAACATGATGATGCCACAAACCATACAGCTGGGGACACTGTGAATTACCTCAGGGCGAATAACATTACATTTATTGACTGGACTGCCAAAATCCCTGATCTCATTCCCATTGAACACCTTTGGGAGAATTCAGACCAGCGTGTTAGACATCGCCCTATTCCACCGTCCAACGTCATTCAGCTAGGGCAAGCCTTAATTCAGGAATAGAACAACATTTCATTTCACAAGCCGAAATCAATACGCTAATCCAGTCTATGCGCCAACAATACCAGACAGTCCTTCAAGCTGAAGGTGGTCATACACAATATTAATTTGTCATTTTGTTTTAACTACTATTTCACTACTTTTGGATAAACCCTCACAAAAATCGCATTAAAGTAGTCTTTCCATACATATAAATATATTTCAATCCTGAATTTCATATTTGTGTATATCTGCACTTAAATACAGGGGAAGTTTCTATTTTGTTCATTATAGCTTAAAACATATATTTATATTAGCGACACGTACTTAGCGACACGTACGTATCACGTGTATTAATGTCAATTTAACTGGCATATTTCTTTGCGTGTATTAGGTTATTATATAAAATGATTTTTATTTTAAAATTTAATTTCCTTTACATTTGAACTCGAATCGTGCGTTATTCTATATACAACAGTGCATTCATAATTGAATATATATATATATATTCTTAACATGATAAAAAATATCGTTACAAAATCATATGAATTATACAGATCCAGGTGCTAGGTGACCGGTGAAAAATGATTAATGCTACATGGACATAGATTGATACGTGGTTGAGATGATTCCTGTCAGTCCCGAAGTCGCCGGTTTAAGATGACCTTGCTTCTTCAAGTAATATTATTATTTTGTTAGTGGAAGATATGAAAGGATGCTAAATCAATCAATCAGCATATACATCGTTGATCTCCTCCTCATTACTATGCAATGGTCAAAGTTACCCGTGTGCATTAATTACTGTATGTTATTAATAGTAAAAATTTAGAAACACGAACTTTGATTAAGATTTACTTTAATTAAGTCCCAAATCAAAAAGGTCTAATGATATATAGTACATGTTGTAACCACAATAAATCGACAAACAGTGGTCGGTAATAATACATTGTGATGTGATTTAAAAAGGATTAGCAATATGATGACTTAACTGCTCAAACAACGATTTAAAAAGGATAAACAAAATGATGAATTTGATTTGATACTTAAATAACAAGTGAAAAGATACAGCCATGATTGAAAGGTACAAACAGTAATTCTATGCTGAAATATAAGAATAATGGCTTAGATTGAAATTTTAAATCTTATTTGTTGATTTCACCTTCTTCGAAAATCTTTAATTAAACAGTTTGTTATTACAAAACGTACATCAATATACATGTTTTAAGCAAGGAAAGCTGTATCAAATGCTTGATAAATTCACATAATAGTATTATAAATCGATTGAAATCATAAAATTTTCCAATATAGATTAAAGATAATAATTCAACAACATGTTTTTATCTCATCAGGACGAATAAAGAGCTTATATACCTATTCTCATTGATTGTGGTTCTTCTAGAGTTTGGTGGTGTATTTGCGTTTGGAGCTGCCTTTGTCGCTCTTCTAGAAAAATATCAAAGAGATCGATCAACTACTGCTACAGTGCAATCAATCATGATTGGAGTTACTTTAAGCTTTGGTACTTATACTTTCTTTGCTATCACTGACATTCACAAATATCACAAATATACATAACTGTTATTCTGGGATGATATGTTAAGACATTTTAAGCAAATATCTTGAAACGGAAAAATGTCTAAGTCTTGAAACGGGTCGATTTCCGTTGTTTTTTGTAACTTAACTTCTTTCCTTAGCATATTGCAGGTCACCCATATTGCAGGACGAGATGATGCGTCACACAACGCGAAATGTTGTGCACCGTACCTCACAAGATTTTCTTTACGTAATGTTCATGGGGAATAAATTTGATAAACAATTCAAATGATATTATTCAAACTGGCTTATTTATGTGGATAGTTTATCGAAGTCTTCCTTTTTGTTTCCGTTACATTTATAAAATAAATGCAATTTAAGTTAGTTTTAGTATAACCACCGTCACATACAAAATTTTTACTACACATGTCATATGAATTAATTTTATGTTCGATTGCAAGTTAAGTGCTTAATCTCTATGCGTGTATTAGATACTTTTTTGAAATATTTATTATTTTGAAAAATAACCATATTGATTTATTACAAACATAAATTAATCAGACAAAATACTTCGCAAGTTTAAGAGATATATTGGATTCAATTTCCTGTTTTCAGGTGTTGTAAGTGGCACTCTAATAAGTCGATTAGGACTACCATTGGTACTTTTGGTATCGTGTATTCTGGTTCCAGCCGGATATTGCTCTTCTTTCTTTGCCACCAGAATAGAGCATCTCTATGTCAGTATCGGCATTGTATCAGGTAGGTAAACAAACGTTTAATTTTGTTTACAAACAGAACAAAGAGATCAAAATATGATGTATGTCCGGTTTTCTTTTATATAATTACAAGTAAACTTGTGTTTATTTAATCAAGTGAAGTAATAGTATGCTAAATGACATGGCCACAGTCATGTGTATGATCATCAGATTTGTCATAAACATTAACAGTTTTGCAAAGGAGGTTTAAATATTTTAATTGGTATATAACTACCATCGCATTTTGTTCTTTAAGAACAAATATTTTGTAGATCACTTGTTATGATACAATTGGAAATACATGGAGTAGATAACTAGTAAGAACTAAAGCATTTGTTTAAATTAATACCCTCAAAATTCTCAAATGGGTTACCGGTAGAATCAAAGCATTGAAGGCACTGAATTTGTTTAGGTCATAAATAGCTTAAGGTTTTCAGAGTACCTGTTTATACTGTAACATGTCATGAACGCTGAAGACAGACCTGTATGGAAAGCCCACCAATCGTGCTAGGAATCTGACACGCTCGTATACATTCATCAAGCATGCTATGTTGTAAAGTGAAGAATATCCCATGAAAACCATGTTAGTCGGTTGATAATAAGTCAAATATCAAGATATAGAAACTTATTAATAGTTTCCGATAGGTAAAAAACATTCAGGACTTGGTAATCATCTTGATAAAATGTTTCACCAGGTGATTACGAGATTTAACCGCCGACCAATAATGATTACATCATACTGATTATTCAATATAGACTGCAGTTCTTATCCGATCTATAATGCTTAAGCATAAGAAGAAAGATCAACAATGCAAGGACGACGTTCGCTAAACGCTGAGCCGACACACCACAAACACACTGGTACGGCAAACAGAAGGCACCGAACCAAACACCAGATTTGTTACAATTAACAATTTAATAAGAAAAATTATCTAAAAAAAATGAAATGGGGTGATAGGGAATTAAAGGGACAAGAATGGGGTGTAAGGAAAGGGGGTATGGAACCGAAGTATTTATGATTTACGATTCGTTTCTACTTAACAGATTACATTATCTTCCATTTCAGGAATAGGCGTTTCGTTGGGATACATCAGTTCTGTTGTTGTAGTTGGCAGAATGTTCAAAGGAAAGAAAAGAGTTTTGTATTTATCAATACAGACTGCAATCAGTTCATTATCAGGACTTATTTACCCATACATTTTGGAGTGGTTAATTGGATCTTATGGTCTAAATGGAACGTTCCTACTTCTTGGTGCGATTTACAGTAACAAGATTCCGTTCTTAATTCTGTGTATAACAAATCGAAAATCACTTACCACCGATGTAGCCTCAAAGAATGACGTAAATACAATCTGTGAAAAAGAAAACCCCATCAACAAAGCAAAGAAAAACGCCATTCTAGACAGCATTCAAAATTTCAAACAAATGATGAACATTACATTTTCTTTAATTCTTTTAGCATCAGGAGTTTCAGTGGCTGGTATAAATGGATTTATAGGTCTTGTACTTGATATAACCTTATGGAAAGGTTTCACAAATTCTCAGGCACTTTTCACATTCGTAATCTTCAACATCGCAAATACTTTATCAAGACTTGTTCCAGGCTTTCTGAAACAAATAAAAGGATTTGATTCCTTCATATATCCAATAATTTCAACACTATTTGGTTTTATTGGACAGTTATTATTCTTTTTCGGTAACAGTTACTCAGTTTTTATGACAGGGGTATGTCTTACCGGTCTGTGTATTGGCGGAATAATTTCATCTCAATTATTAGTATTGGTGGAAATAGTAAGACCTGAGAATATTCCTGTAGCCTCGGGACTACTTTTAACGGTGACCGGCATTATATCTGTGTCTACAGGACCAGTCTTTGGTAAGTCAAAACTCCTGTATGTAATATAAATTGTCTTTAACTGCCGCTATAAATAATACCAATATATTTTAAGGAACTCCACTGAGGTCTAAAAGCTTCAAAACGATTTTTTTTATTTCTTACATAGATCGGCTGAATAAAGATATGCAAAATATAAGAAAGAAATATTCTCAGAAATAAATTTAAAATTGTATTTTTGTGCTACTCTTATCCCGATTTGAGTGAAAAGCGCTTGTAATGCATTTTGAAAATTGTATTTTTGTGCTACTCTTATCCCGATTTCAGTGAAAAGCGTTTTAACGCCTTTTTAACTTGGGTCATTTTTCACAATTACAATAATCATTCTGAAAAAAAAAACGGAGTGAGCGAATGATCTGAGATTTTGCACACTTGTTATTGGGTTAGATCTACATCAAATAGAATAAATACGTAGATTGATAACAATACGATCATACTGAGCAATCCTACAAATCAATGTTTGATATTTTTTATTACAAATTAAGAAAGATATGGCACACAAGTTATTCAAGATTAGTTGCAGGTTTATGTTTTAAATATTAATGCCTATGTTTAAGATTAGGACATTTTAACATCGTTCATCGTAATAGCAATATATGTTCACAACTTTTTATATAGATTTAAGGATTTAAAGATGTAATTGTAAATTAAGAATCATTTGCTTTGCTTTTTGACATTTCTATAAGATGCTCGCTAAGGATGTAAGAAATCTAGGGTTCGAATCCGGTTTCTAGCAAATGAAAATAGTTTAGTGTCTTTTCAGTGATATGAACATTATTTTCAATAAGCAAGATATGTAACGAACAAGTGTGGCTGTGTTTTTTAGTAGAAAAAAGGTGTCCATAACTGTTATTTGGACGCAACCAAGAAAAATTTCATATGCATCAAATTTAAACTGTTGTTGCCAAAAATCTAATGTTTTGTATTTTAACCATTTGTTTAAATATTTTAAATTGAATTTAAGTTTTACTAGATGCCCTGCACGGTAAACATTGTTTAAAGCAATGATAGTCATTTTGCTTATTGTGTAAGTCTAAAATAAAAATAAAGATGTAAAAAATTTCTCCAAAACTTATTTCATATTCATTTGAAAAGATTTCCTCTAAATATGCAACGTTGGCAAAACTGAAAAGTAGAGTTATTGGACACACAAAAAATAGATGGCGAAATTTAAAAGTTGTCTTGTACTATCTTGAATGAAAAGCTGATGTCTATGTTTGCCTTTTAGAATCAATTACCCAAACTATTCTCGCTGTTATTATACTGATGTGAGCGATAATTCAAAAATGTGATTTAAAATTGTATATATCTACTTTGATAATATATTATATTACCGACATTAATCTTTTTCTATTTGCATTTCAGGAAAGCTCAGGGATATTTTTGGCAGCTACGGTATAGTAGTTCTAACTATTGCTTGTCTACAAGTTATAGCAACAGTACTATTCTGTATTGCTTTAATATACAGGCGTATAGATACCAATAAAAAGAAGAAAATACAACAAAAAAGAAGAAACACGGTTTTCGCTATTACAGTATCGGAACTATGAAAAGAATTTTCAATTCAAGTTGCTTGAGAATTTTTTTCAAAAGCCAAACGAGTTAGTGCTAAAGCAATTCACCAAACAATGAAGTTTACGTTGTTTTTAAGTGTTTAGGGATATGATGTGCCAGCCACGTGGTACATCTACAAAGGTTGATCAGACAATAAGCATGAGGGTGGGTCAATATATAATGGAATATGAAGAAGATTTTCTAATGAAGATTTTGATTCTTGTGTTTTTGTACTCTTAGTAAACTATGCTATGCTTTAAAGCATTTGCTTTCAAATGATATCAACATCATGTGTGTAGTAAACCGATTAAGAATTTTATCCACATTTAATTAAAATACTTTACACGAGTAACTGCATGTAAAATATGCCTGTTAAACAACCAGTTAAAAGTGTTGTGATTGATTATGATTGACTAAGATGTCAGATTTTTACTTACCCAGATTGCCCACATCGCAGGGATACTAAAAGAGTAAACTCTACGATTTTGTAGAATCACTTGCAAGTTAAGCGAATAACTGCCAGATGGATATCCCATTTTCTAGCATCTAACAAGGAGGAGCGAATAAATGCCCTCGAAAATTCTAGGAAATGATTCCTTAATATGACAGTGCCCGTTTACCTTATATTGCGACTGGTGATGAAAGCTGGTTTTAGTATTTTACACCAGTTCGCAAGTGTAATAATAAAAATGGGCCGTCGACTATGCATTGCAAAGCGATTGACAAGTACGCTATATTTTTCAAAACCCCTGTAACCGTTTTCAAAATTCCTGTTTCTTGGTCATTCTGTTACATCCAAGTACATGTATTTCATCATTGTAAAGGTTTTTCTATACTTTATTTCGGGACTTTGTAATGCTTTTAAGTCCCTGATCACACATATATTTTAAGTTCTTATTTGTAATTAAAAATGTTAAGATAATTGCAGGTTTTATGTCATTACTATGTATTTGGTGTCTAAAGACGTAACGAAATGTTCGCAATACACTAAATTATCGTTATCAGCTAATATGTGTGCGTGCAAATGTCAAAGTTCAAGATTAATTATGCATATACTTGATCGGATGATATTTTAACTTTTGGTGCATGTGTGTACATAATTTTATCTTTGATAGCTGCACGTATTTGTCAATGTCCTCCATGATGACGAGCCTTGAGGAATTCATTTTTCAGCTAATTGTTCAATCTCCATGTTCCAGATATTGTCTACTGTACAGTGTATGTCATTTCCACGTTTGTGTACTTAAAGATGAATTATTCAGAAACAAAAAACAAGAATTTTTAAAAGAGCGTTTTAAACAAAGTGATAACGATTTATGCTGAACGCAAGTGAGTCCGGTCGCAGCTATCGAAGGTTGCACTCGGTTATGAACGACTTAGTTTTGTCAAGTGAGAAACCATTTCGGTTATAAAGCTTTAAAAAATGGAGGAATAGGGTATCTTGTTTTAAGAGTTTTTTTTATTTCACGTTTTATTTTATTATTTTTTTTATTATTATTACTATTTTCTTTAAACTTTCTGGTATGTAATAAAGTTCGCATATGCATCAGAAAAAATCCCACCTTCACTAAATTGAGCTCGCGATGACGAGCTTACAAAGCATTGAGGCAAAGAATTGATTCACTGACACATTTGTCAGAGGTTGAATTACTGAAGTATATATCCTCGTAAATCTTTATACATGATGTTTACCACGATGAATGTACATGTATGATTCTATAACGGATGGTCTGTAAACGGTAGACTGTTATTTTTTTTTATCTTTAAAAAAAATACACAATGTACTTAAGACTTCCAACAACAGATTGCGCATGTGCGAAACAAATGCTCAACATACTAAAACTTGCAGTTTATGGTGCTAGAATTGTTGAGTGATCGTGCATGTGTTTGTTTATTTTAGACGTTTGACAGATGACTGAGATTTCACCGTGTAACTGAATGTGTGCCGTATTGGTATCTCTTGCTTAAAAAAGAAATGAAAACACTTTTATCCAGTTTTATATATTCTATTTCTGTCTTTTAGATGACATTGATGAAACAAAGAATACAAATTTAGAAAGGAAATTTCATACATAAACATTGCTTTAGACACTAATGACAAAATAAATGCACAATGGATAATATATGACAAGATATAGTGAATTAAATGAAGAATGTCTTTATATGAGACTATTCAAAATACGAGAAGCTTGATTTGTCTTTATATGAGACTACTCCAAACACGAGAGGCTTGATTTGTCCTGAAATTAGAATGGAAATTAGGCACATAAAATATCATACAATGTAAATGTCGATAAACTGATGGAAAACAAAAATCGTAATCGTAGTAATGGTTTTATTTTGTAGGGCTACAAAATCAGATAGCACTACTTGTCATAAGGTTGTCTGGGTCGAACATTTACATGTTTTATATATGGGCATATTACTAATAGGTATAATTCTTGCTTAAATGAGTCCATATTTTAAAAGATCGAAACATTTTACGAACAATTTACGTCTAAATACGACTTCTAAATACAAATGTACATTAACATGATAGGTTGCCTTGCCTCTGTTAACCTCAGTTATCGCATTATGCGCATATTGGAAATAGTATTAAAGAAAACTTATTTAAAGTGCTACAGTCAAAGTTATATTACACACCTGTAAGCCTAGTCTGTTCGCGGCCTCTTCAAGCAGTGTCCACTGTTCTTGTGCTACAAATATAAAATATATACATGCATGTTTTGTTTTGTGAATACTTTATAAAACGTAAACAAAAGAGGACTTCAGAAGTGTACTTCCTTAAGTTAATTGATAAGGTGCCCCAAGTGGTCTTTTTTAAATAAACAAAACGTATGTTTAAATAAGAATATTAAGGTTTCTATAGAAATTTTTTATGTAGAATGTAAAAAGATCTCTTAATATGAAAAAATACCGATTACATAAAGATTTCCATAGAATTTAGCCGAGAAATAATTTTCGCATTTTCCCTGATTCCCATTAAACATATCACAAGTTTGATACTGCTTCACATAATGTTTCCACATGTTTCGAAATTAGTATAATTTTATAGTCTAAAATGTATACAGACTTTACTGAAAAGTCTTGTTTTATATTGTACTAGTTTTGTAATTTAAGGAACAAAAAAAACTTACGCAACACGTTTTCTACTATTGAACTAAATTCAGAAATATCCGCCGTGGAAAGGAAATATTCGTATTTAGAATACTGTTCCACACTTTTTGCAATGACGAATTTGATCCCCTGACAAACTGTTTCCAGTGCTTCGTTATTTCTGAACTCCGGCTGGTGCCCAGGGATAGCCATGTTGATATAATTGGACAGGAAACCAATCACCTTCAAACAAATATGCTCCGTTTCCATTGTAGTAAACCTAGGATGAAATAAAGTCGTTTGATTAGTTTAATTATAATAGCAAAACATCTCTTTAGCTAATGCTTCTGCTAAAACAAAAACAACAACAACAAAAACAACAAAAAAACCACGAAAGTACGGATTTTTTTTTATTTCTCAAAAGCTTTTTATTTTTGATGTTTGAATACTTTTATCATTGGCCAATTTCCTGGATTTCCTTTTTGAGCAATTAGTGTAGTACAGTTAGTGAATTAAGATTTTTTATCAATGATCCTGTAACACTTTTTTTATGGTTTTATATCATTAATATAATTCTCAAATGAAGAGTTATCAAATATTGTAAGTTCCAAAAAGCATTATTTGTTAAGATATTACCGAATTTACATTTCATGTTAATAAATAAAGGTAATTAGAAATTTGTTTTCCATAAAGTCCAAGTCAAATTTTTCAATAAGAAATGAACGCATATATTTTAATGATTACATATACATGTATATAATGTGGATAAATATTTGCAGTAGATACTTTATATATTCTCCGATGTTTGAAAATTGTTTTAGAAGCATAATTATATTTCACTTAAATGTGGTTACAACCTAAATTACAACATACAGGATCTTTAAATGTATGGCATTTTTATTTTGCTCCTTTTATGACAAATAATTTCAGATTCAGCGCGATAAGCATGTAACATGCTAGAAATCTATCAGTTTATTTAAAATGTTATCAATCTCATGTTTGCCCTGTTATAAGGACAATGGTGCAATTAGCTGAATAGTCCGTTATAAAATCTTATATGTTGACGGGAATAAGGTAAATAAGTTATTTGGAAGACATAATTATACTTACACATCTTTGAATCGTTGAATCTCTCTAATATGACCTTTGACAACTTCACATGTTGATGGACATTTTATTCCCGCAAAAGCAGACTCTAGCCCCATTTTCAACTGGTCCGAATTATCTATTCCATTTAAAACGTGTTGAAAATAGTTCTGAAGTTCCTGAGAGATTTGATGTGAACCATACCCAAGATCTGTTAATAAAAATGTTTTCCTTAATTATACAAATATGTATATAATTATGTATTTATGATCGGAATTAATCGTGTATACGAGTAATGAAGTAGCATCTTAAGACGTACATGCATAAGGGCTTTATTTCTAGATTACAACTTGCTCCCGTTCTACATAAATTTAACATTAAACATTAAACATATTGCCAGTTGTTTCCTGAACAGCATTTTATGATTAAAATATGTCAAAAGTGTTCATTTACCTTTATAACCAAACTGTAACAAAAAGTCCAAAGTGTCCCTGAATATGGTTTCATGTATTTCCAGGGCACCTTTCATAGCAATGTCGTCTGCAAACGGCTCCAATGCTGTATCAACCATCGGTGCCATTTTCTTGAGAAATATATAAAGTGCTTCGTCATCGTCAGAAATGAAGTGTTGTTTCTTTGCCAACAATAGTTCTGAAATAATACAATGTAAATGTCAGTGTAACAGTATCCTAACTCCCTTATCATTCTAATCAGGTTTCGAGACAAAACGGTGCAAGACTGTATTAACATTTCATAAGACCGTATATATTCAGTCAATTTTGTTCGTCCCTTATGAACATAAAACGTTTAAAGAACTCCATCCGAGGTCTGGCCAAATGTGAAAAGGGTACATTTTCATAAACCGATATTTTTATTACTTACGTGTTAAAGGCATTGAAACAAAGTCAGTAATGAATTAATATGTGTTCTATCACTTGACAATACGTTTGAAACTCAGTGGAGTTCCTTTAATATCTTATATGTATTGATTACATTAAAACAAATATTGATAGTACAAATAAAATGAGATGGATACATACTAGTTAATCCCATTTCAAGGATACTGGCTGGACACTTCATTCTAACAGCCAACATTGGTTTAATAATCATTCTTGTAGCCAAAATTGCAATACCGTCCGTATCTTTTATCCGTCCCAGGAGACCGAATACATCTCCAATATCCTTCATGTCACATTCTGGTATCTCAAAATAATCTGAAATTAAATCATTTCATTTTAATATGTTTACTGGTGCTGTATGGCACTTATTCATAGATAAGTAATCATATCAACTCATGGTTAAAAACTGAAAAACTTTTGTTATACCGGGTATTTAATAGGAATCTAAGTTAATTAAGCCGAACAAATGATACTAGTTTCAGTAATATTACTTGCATGTATTGTTTCATCTAAAAAATACGTTAAATGTTCTCTTAGATTTGATAATAAGTATGCTGTGAAAATTCTACCAAGACAAGTGAGTATCAAAATACAAGTACATTTCTAAAACATACCCACAATGTCATCAACTGATATCTGAAGCCCCATTCCAGATTCGCAATGATTACGAATCATGTCTGTAAGAAAATGGCTTCCGGGGAACAAGAACGCCTCATCGTACCCATATATTTCCTTTTCCGGTACAGATGTCGTGGTTTCAACATATGTATCAGGTGTGGTACGTTGTTGAGTTGTTTCCTGTCTTTTGGCTTCCGGCGGAATTCCGTGTCTTTTAGATTCTGCCGCCTCCTGCGTCCTCAAGTAGTCCATCAATTTGCGCATATTCAAATGATTTCCTTTAAAAATAAGGAAACACGATAAACAATTTAATGAAATTTCAAAAATTCTAAGCATTCATTTTTTTATATTAGGTATCAAAATGTGCGTTGCCAAATGCATCTGCGGACCGTTTAACAACGCGCTACGTTTTGCTCTTTTTTTTAACTTGGATCACAATTTTCAGAGAAAATGTGCACCGATATCTGTATTTGTATATAAATTATACATGTGCATTATTTGGACACATGAACTGTATATATCGCGCAATGCATGTGTAAATAATTATATTCTGTAAAAAAAGAGAAAGTAAATGTTCGATAAAACGAACTCCGTCTAAAATTCCGTCATTCAAAATCACTTGATGAACGACCAAACTTGCTGCTCTCAAAGCATTGATGTGCATTTTTCCCTACATGATTTACTATACATTTATAAACAGCAGTGATAACTTTTTTCTCTTATTAGACATACATGTACAATTATCACCAAATAAGTTCAAGTATAATAACGTACCTCTACACATTGCGACTACAATCAACATAATTAATAAAGTCCTCATGTTTGTCGTGTATGCTCTTTACTCCAAATGTAAGAACCGCTTACAAAGTCAGTATAAATTTGTTAAATTTCAGGTTTTATATATATAGCAAATGAAAATGAGGCCCTAAAAGAAATTAAGGTATTTGACATAAGGCACTGCTGGATTTTCTATTAGACTTGTACTGCTTTGAATCAGTCACAATTTATCAGGAAAGTTAAGTCATAACAAAATACTAGTACATGTACTAAAATAAAGTAGAGAGTCGGGTCATGTTCCGTAGATATGCAGACTGGTCTAGCTCTATATTTCTAACATAGAAAGTCTTTTACATGTGCCACAAACGCCTATTGTCCTAAGGTATATTGACAAAAAGGTTGTCTGCCAAAGCCAATATTCGAATATCTAAGTGATATTCAAGATTTATTAAGTAAGCCATAAACATAATTGGGCATACTGATCGCCATAAACAACGTGGTCTATACAAAAAGAAAGTAAGAATGTAAATTAAATGACGAGAATATCTGTTGGTCATATCTAGTTCTTTAGTTCGGACCCTGGAAATGATTTGCGTAATAATTCACTTCATGTATGTTCACATATTAATGGTAACTTGAGAGAGAGAAAAGAACATGTCAGTTTCGGTATAGAATATAGAAACACTGGTAAGCGCCAGTAGAGGTCTAAAATAAAGCTGCAATTTTCCAAATACGGGCCTCCCAAGTTACATGTCTACTTCTCACTCGATTACTCGTGCAGTTCTAGGAAAATTGTAAGCTCTAACTTTCCGTAAATACGATACATGAATTAAAGGTTGTCGTCCGTTTTAAAACAGATCGGATGTTGAGAAAATTACAATGTAGATCAAAAATTTTCAAGATCAGTTATTTTCTATATGTGCACATATGAGATGATTTAAGGTCCTATTTAAATTCATGGTAAATTGTCGGTTTTTTTACGTCGCGCCAACACAGTAGAGGTCATTATGTTGAATTTCCAGACCTCAGGTGCCCCTGTGTGCGTTCTTTCTGGCACAAACTGGCACCTGAGTAGAACCTAGAACCACCGACGTTCTGTAAGCTATATAGCTGGATAGTTTTCTCACATGAAGACGTTTGCGCGACTCGAACCTACAACTCGGCCACGAACGCCGCTAGGTAAATTGTCTAATTATGGAAGTTCATCAGCACTTTTTATTTTGACCCACATTGAGAATGGGGAGGCTATATATCCTAGACAAGACCGTTTGGTCTAAACAAGAAGTATATTTAAAGTTCATTACGTTTTCCTTAGTTTATTAAAAAACAAATTTAACTTCCGAAATATACAGCAGAGTCTAATCGAAGGGTTTGCCAACTGGACTGTTTATCAAAGTTCCTATTCATATAGAAATCGTGGAAATGTGGAGTATCCAAGGGTTTGCCAATTGGGATGTACATGTATATCAAAGTTACCATTCATATGAAAATGTGGAGTATCACGTTCTTTGAATGAGTCACATAGGAGGAAATCGAGAAGGGCTTCTTATTTGTAAGGACACCAAATATTGTCCTAGCTAAACATTTGCTTTGAAGAATATGAAGTAAAATTTATAGGCTTATCACCCATTATAAAGTACACAAAATCAAAAATAAGGCACACACCTTTAAAGTATATAGATTGAAATTTCATCGACACGAAAAACCCGTGCAAACTTCTGATCTTAAATACAATAATTTTATTACGAGAAAAGCATTGATGCAAAGCATCAAAGGGCGTCCAAGCAAGAAATGCAGCAAGTGAAGATGAACTAGTAGACATATGATGACAAGATATTCTTATAATCTTTTCAATGGTTTTTACCAAAATTGTATATCACTTATGAATGAGCGGACGAAAGACATTGTTCATTATGAACTTTGATTGGCATGCTAGAGATTAGAATATTACTTGTTATTTCTTTATGACCGTGGTTATTAATAGCAACGGATTTTGTGTGTTTGCGTTTGTTTACCCTCGCCACTGGAAAGAGACCATATGGGCGAGCAACGGATATACATGTAAATAATCATTTACAATCCATATGTGTAACGCATGATCAACACCACACTTGTGTAATTGTCCCTTATTATGTTATCGCTATTAGCGAAGACCCCCTCTAAAAGTATCTATTCACACTTAGTAAAAATATGACACTGGTTATATTACCATGTTGATCATGTTAAGCATAATTGTTTATTATACAATAAATGTAATATATATTAATTTTGATAAAAAATTACAGATTTTATGAATATTGTTTTCTTTTCTTTTTTGTGTTGTAAGCGCTTTTTTATGTTTACTTACTTTTTTTAATTTAAATTGTAAAATAATTTTTAAGAATTCAATTGTCATATTGACCGACGATTATAAGTCAAAATTTAACTGGAAAAAGTCAGTAAATAATGGTTAATCTTTCAATATATAATATTGTTTATTCTTATATTCTTAAACCATGTACATTTGTTTTTTTCTTTATCATTTTTTAATTATCAACCAATTGAATAATTCATAAAATCTAATTTGTAACTTTGAATAATTCCTCGGCATCTTTACTAACCACGAATAACAAATTAAATAAAATGTTTCAAAGTTGATAGTGTCGTATTATTACCATAAAAATGTACCCTTTTCTCAATTATTGTACATATTTATTGTTTTTATCTCATATAGATAAAATGAAACATGTATTGTTGTTGTTCTTGTTGTTTTTGTTTTTTTCGAATTGTATGTTTATGTATAATAAAAATCATTAAATTTGATCTGTGTTCATGAATTATTGTAACCAAATTAACTGACAAACATTCATTTTGGAAAAGAGCTTATTTATCTGTAAAATATTTGTTTTGTTCTGTAACTATATCAAACATCTACTCCAAAACCGGGAGAGACCGGACAATAAACGGTCACTAGTAAATCCCGGTCAAAATAGACCGGGAGAGACCGGGAATTACCGATAGGAGCACATATCCCTCTATAAATAGATTTTCGGAATATTTAGGTCATCAACTCATCATTCTATTTACAGCTTTCGGATAAATGTACAACAATAACATTCCATAATAACCCACTGTGTAAATAAAAAAACCCGAAGAGCGCGATTTATTGACGGAAAAGGTTATTTCATTTGAAAATTTTTGCAAGTTCGCTATTCATTGTACCACGGATTAATTAATAATCAAGCACCTTCATACCGTTCGGAATGATCGGCTTTTATTATGACCGACTTAAAGGCTCGAGAAGTTGCTGTCGCCCTTTCACAAAATCTGATTTCATTCCATAAAGGGGCGCCGCGCTTCAGCGCGGACGCCAATAATTAACCTAATACATATATATGAAACTTGTAAAATCTTATATGAAACAAAGTTGGACAAGGTTCTACAGAAAACCTTAGTGTAAATAAAGTTTTTACATATTTTTAGCTTTTCCAGTTACGTATATTCTTATAAACTTTAACTCGTGGTGATTATTTTTCACCATTTTTTGTGGAACGAATTGTCTTGATGAGCTTGCTCTAATGCTTGCTTATTGCTTATTTACGGATCCGTCTTTGTGCTAAATAGAATTTGATTGAAGACACACAGACAGTTAAAGTCATATGCCGACAGTCAAGCTTTACTGGTGGGGGAACTCTCCAGCTAGTTGTCCCCCTCTCTATTATTTCAGGCATAAGTGAGGGCCGTCGTAGAACGACCGATATTCTGTAATTTCTTGCTCATGAAGAAGAAATTTTTAATGTAAATGGCAGGATTCAAACTCACTGTGGCGAAAGATAGAAGTATATTATGTAATTCAGTCGTAAAACCTTGTTTAGACCATTTTATTCTTAAAAAGGTTCATTGGGAAAAATAGTGTTTAAAATGTCTGCTGTTTGTGTTGTTTTTTTGTTGTTTTTTTTGTTTTTTTTGTTCTTTTTTTTTCGGGGGGGGGGGGGGGCTTAAATTCACGGCGACATATATTAGTATCGTCATGTGGCATCTCTCTAGCTACTAGTACTATAATGTTAACGTTTTGATAAAACTCAGATACCCATAGGCTCTTGTTACTGGGTCGGGTGGGGGCTGTGTTCATTGAACGCCACCTTTCCTTGTTGATCTTGTTTATCATATTTTTTTCTTCATTCAGAAACCACGGAAAGAAATATAAGACCAGGGCGGCTTTGATATCTGCTGTTACACAGTACCTAAAACATAGGTCTACGTCATGGTTCACAGCGGGAATACAAAATCTCCCACGAAGATGGCAAAAGTGCGTAGGCGTAGGTGGAGAATATTTTGAAAAAGAGTAGAAAGATTTTTTTTAAAATGTTGAATGGTTTTCGAGAACGAGTCAAAAGTCCGGATATTTTCTGACTTCCCCTCGTAGTGTCAAGCTTTATTTGGCTTCATTAATATTTACTTTATTTCGTCACTATACCTGTCCATTTTTACGAACGCGGTTCTATGAAGCGCTATGAAAAATAGAAGGCTGATATGAACGGACTTTTGATATATCATCAACTTTTGTTCTTCTATGAAAATATACACTAAGAATTTTTTAAGAAATACAGCGTTTTCATTGAATGACAAATAAAGCTTGACACTAATATTATTTATTTCAGTTTCTTTATTTGGTTCTACACATCCTCTTATGTCTGGTAAACATAACTTTTCTATTATATAGAAAATCAATTAATCAGAAAAAAAATGCGCCGTACGTCATCACTGATATTTTGTGCGCCATACGTTATCATTTCCAGAAAATGCCCCGATATTAATATTTTCAGCAGTTATTCTAGACAGAATGGGTATGAATGCTTAGATAACGACATATTAATTTTTTTTAAAGTCAGTGGTTTCAGTTAATATACATATATGTAAACGAAACAGTGAATTTTAGAGAAGAAGCCGTACGTTACCACGATCAAACCGGTGGAAAATTCTCTCGCTTCGAATCCGGTGACGCGCATTTCAGATGAAGTACGGGACGAAACATCGTGAAATAAAATCCTGTGTGCCCGGAAAATTGTGGAGAAGGTTATTATATGTACCTTTACATTAGAACATCACGAATTTCAAGGAAAAAAGGGAAAAACCTACTTTTTGGCTGCATCCGCCATCTT